CAACATGGTTGGCTTCAGAAACATCGTATCCGGCACTAATGTACAGAACTGGTGGGACAATGGCAGTAACCAGATCGCCTTCTGTCGTGGCAATAAGGGCTTCGTAGCTTTCAACAATGATAATAATGATTTGAACATCTCGTTGCAGACCTGTTTGCCGGCGGGCACTTACTGTGACATCATCTCCGGCGAAAAGTCGGGTTCAAGATGTACAGGAAAATCGGTTGTGGTGGGCTACGATGGTCGTGCCAATATTTCAATACGTCAAAATGAGAACGATGGCGCTTTTGCTATCCATGTGACATCCAGATTGTAAAAGGAGTTCTGATCCTATCAGGTTTTATCATGGTTTAAATACATTTGTTTAAGAAAATCAAAGTGTTGAGTAATAAAATATAATATGCATCTCTGTTTTTTAGCATTTTYCTTTAGTGTTGATAAGAGTTGCTTCGCTTTGCTTTCAAAAACTTTGTCCCATATTTGYGGATCTTAACTAGAAACTGAAACTTTATTGTTTCAATATTAAAATATAACTGTTTTATTTCGAAACTTTTGGCATCCATTTCACTGCCACGTTATGCTCCTACTTACAACCACCGGTAACTGGTCGGAGATCCCCTCTGAATAGTCCACTTCTACTGACTATCTGCTGGTGGACTCTCTGTTTGCTCTRTTGCGGCATCCTCTGTTGCAGCTTCCGTGGTCGATTTCGCTTCTTCTATTATAACTGGTCCATCGCCTTCGACTAACTCAGTTGTAGCTCCTACGGCTAATAGCGTTTCCTCCGTTTTAATTGCGGTGATCGCGACAACTACAGCAGAGTCGGYAGTTGCAACTGGTGCGGGCGCAATGGGCATAACAATCGGAGGTCGACATATTTCATCATATCTAACACAATCATCAGGTAGCGGATCMGGTTTCGTCTTCAAAGCTTTAAAAGCCCTTTTACAGTAACACTGATCGGCTAGCGATTTCATCGAACCGGTTATATACGCGCCCTGAACAGCTTTGGAAAAGGCATCCAGCATTTTAAGAAACTCTTGTTGACCCTTCTGCATATTTTTGCACTGACCCGCCCAAGCCATCATAATCGAAGACTGTAATATGCCATCGAAGCTGAATATTATGGGCCACGGTTTGGGTGATGGATCGACACATGTGGCGTTCAGCAGGCAAAGACTCTTATCTTCCGTCTTACCATCCACATGCAAAATGATACCTTTAAACCGAGAACATATGTTTATTGCAACAAGGAAAGATGTTTATGCTTCAAAGTCRTTTAAACTCACCACCGACTGAAGCCGGCACGACATGCCTCAGTAAGCGTAATGTTGTTTTTGAGATCTGACCCGGCGAATAACGTYTCGTGCACTTYGAGCCTGCGTTTAGGGCAGGGAATTTCAGTATTGTGCCTTCTAGATTGACATGATGAATACAAAGTGATTTAAAAATGAATATTAAAATTGTCTCGGCGACTTTTTCAGCACGTTCCATATCATTGTCATCTGATGGCACTACATCTACCTCTAAGATTGGCAGCATACGTTTTGATTGTGAGATGGCCGCAAACTTTGCCAGGTTATTGGCATTATCCATTATAGCCTGGTACGAAGGCGAATATTCRCCAATGTTAAACTGTGCGCGCCACATGGTAAAATCGCAACCGCAATCCTTATATTCGGCACACCGTCCAGCCAAACCGTCAAGACCCTGCGTGGTGTACTCTCCGTAGGTAGTTAACAATGGCACAAGCCCCTTATCGACGGTGACTCCAACCAATACATTCTTKCGCCGCAACTGACAGTGTAGCGCACAACCGTTAGGTGTGGTTTGTTCCAATACCTCCGGGTGCACGGCAACACCAGAGACATATTCGTCTAGTGATTCCTTAACTGAAAATAATAGACTGCGGTATTGGATGCGCATCTCTTTCGAAGAATTTATGCCAAACATTTCCATTAAACGCTCTAATTGTGATGGCGATTCGTCCGTGATGACTATGCCATGTCCCGGTTTCATAAGTTCCGCTGCTATATGACGTAGTTCATCAATTAAGCTGCGCGARGGATAATTAAAATATGTGGACATTGTGGATTTAGCGGAGTTTTGCAGTAAAATGGATGTTGTTTTGCAAGAAAACTTTTTTTTTTTTGAATTTTGAGAAAACTTTGAAATGTAGAATATTTTTKTGTTATTTTGGAAATTTCTTTTTAATAATTTTGTATTTTTTTCTCCATAAATTCCAAAGTAATTTGATATTAAAGAATTGTAGAATTCTTATTAGATCATAAAATTGAGCTTTGTGGAAACTTTGGGTGTGGGTTTTTAACACAAGCTCAAGCTCGATCCACACAGTTCATGTTTTATGAAGCTGGCACTGAATCGGACTCAAAGTTTTGTTTAGATCATGTGGTGATCGCGGGTTTAAAAAGGTGGAAAAATAGTCGTTGGTTCGAATGATTTTTGAAAGGAAAATCGTGCAACTAAATTAAAGAGCGCTTTCATTATCATACGGTAACTCCACTCTGGTGAGCGTTTGTTTGAGTGATCATAGGCCGGTTTTTGAAGAGCTACGTCCATGACCGGGAAAGCAGTTACCATATGAAAAAAGTCCACGTTCGATAGTACATTAAAATCGTGGTTAATATACCGCATGGAAAAAAGGACGTGATGGCGTGCTTTATTAACTACTGACAACAATTTATAAGATCAAGAAACAGTGTACCTGAACCGGCAAACCTGATCCGGAGAGCGGAAAGGCTGTCTTGTCTGCTAAAAGATGTTGGACTACCGCTTTCTAAGGTTCACAAGATGTGATCTATATTGACTACATAGAAAATGGTTACAAGACTCTATTATGTCAAATTATTCAGACGGCGAGTTCGAATTGAAGTAAAATTGTAAGAAATTGGCGAAGAGAGGACTATCTTCCAATATGACAATGTATTTGCTCTCTACCTCTCCATCTCTAAGGTCAAATTGATCGAATTAGTCTATAAATGGTTACCCCTTCCGGCGTGTACTCCAGATTTGCACCATACAACTTCTGTTTTTCAATTTGATGAGGTTAAGTTAGATTATGTATGCCATACATCTGTCTCTTATACACATCTAAGATTTGCACCATACAACTTCTGTTTTTCAATTTGATGAGGTTAAGTTAGATTATGTATGCCATACACAGACCTACTAGTCCTAAGTAAAGCCAGAATAAGGATCAGTTAAACCGAGCTGAAGAATCCGAAATATAAGATGTACAAGCCTTTTGCGAACTTTAAGAGCGACTTGTTATCTAATTTTGATAATTTATCTGGTCTTTTGATCTGCGAAGCTCCAAGATATTTAAGATGAGCTCTAGATAATGCTGGACAGAGCCACAGGAAAGAACCATCAAATTTGAAAAAGTCATTCTACTTCGCAGAATTCCAGAAAATATATATATATATATTCTTATAGACCTACTATATATATATATATATCTCCCATGAGTGAAATTATTCGAAAAAGAATTTCCATTAAATTTTGTGTGCGGAATCCAATTTCTGGTACTGAAATATTCAGAATRTTGGTAATCTCCTTCGGTAATTATTGCTTGTCGCGAGCAAGTATTTTTAATTGGTACAAATTATTCAAAGAGGGTAGAGAACACGTTGAAGACGAACCACAAACAAGAAYGGCCATCAACATCAACTGATAATCAACACGTCAATAAAACAAAGGAGTTGGTGCTTGAGAATCGAGGACTAMCAGTCAGAGATTTTACAGGCATTTTTGGAATATCGGAAGGATCAGAGAAACCATTTTGAAAAATCATTTGGCCRTAAGAAAAGTGAAAGCACGATTTGGTTCTGAAATCACTCGATTTTGCCGAAAAACAGCGTCGCTTTAACCTTTGTGAAATAATGCTTTCGGACTACCAGGATGTCATAAAACGTATTATTGCTGCTGATGAGTTTTGGATCTATGCTTACGATCCGGAAACAGACGATAARTCGGGTGAATATCGTGATAAAGGTAAGCCGAAGCCGAAAAAAAACATTCTATATTGACAGTTTTCATGTCATGGAACATATTATTACTGGCGATGAGTCTTGGATCTATCCTTATAACCCGGAAACAGACAATCAATCGGCGAAATATCGTGAAAAAGCCAGAGTCGAAAAAACACGTTATGTGGACARTTTTCTTCCTACCAGCCAAACTATCAACAATGAATACTATTTGAGTATTATGGCTCAGTTGCGCGAAGGTTTTCGTAAAGAGAGACCGGAATTATGGCCGATAATTCGCCGGATTTAGCCCCGTGTGACTTTAGGATATTTAGCAAACTACAACGACCGCTCCGGGGAAACCGTTTTGATCTTGAATCGCTACTCGCATTGAAGGTTAGTCCGGAAATTGACTTTAAAAACTGTTTCGATGATTTGAAAAAACACTAGTACATTTGTATGGAAGCCAAGTCGTTTACTTTGAGGGAGATGACATAGATTTTGAAGAATAAATTAAGAATTTTAAATTATGAACAAAGTTTTATTATTTTCGCTCACAGTAGTATATTGAGATCATGGTGCTCTAGCATCGGARATCTTCGTACAAAGATTGAATCTTACTTAAATACTGAACTCACCAGGRGGCAGCTCGGTCAGCTCGTTGCCACTCACATTTAGGCGTTGTAAGCGGTCCATAAGTCCAATAGTCTTCGGAAGTTCACGTATTTGATTGTTGGAGACGTCGAGAAACTCCAGATTTTCCAACAGATACATTTCCTCAGGAATCGCGCTCAAATTATTGCCAGCCAAGTGGATGAACTTTAGCGTCGTAACATTCAGCAGCCATTTGGGAATTGTGGTGATGAAATTCTCCTTCAGGTACACCTTGAATAATAGGCATTGAGTTGGTTTAAAGAAAATCTTTACATAAAAGCTTCGAACGTCTAAGGAATATTGCTTACCTCTTCGAGGTCTTCATAGAGATAGAGATCCATTGGCACATCCTTGAAGTTTAAATAACTCCAGTGGAGTGTGGTCTTATTCATGGTAGTGTACCGTGGTATCGGAAAGGGCAGACGTACCTTTTCTTGAGCAATTTTCGTACCGTTAATGGCCGCTGACGGGCAACGTGTGCGAGTTGCAAAACCGTTAAGTAGTAAGACTTTGCTGGCGTTGGCAAAGCGATTTGCTGTGCGTTATTGCGTTTGCTGGAGCGCTTGAAACACTATTTGTACTCACTAGTGTCAGCTGTTTATGAAATTTGCACAACACTAAATTTTTGTTAATTAATTTTTGCACTAAAAACTTCACTTTCTTCAATTTTGTTAAATTATATCACAGCTTAAGCTTCGTGTGGACTATCGATACTACCAAAAGCAGCGGAACAAGAAAAAAACGGTGCTAAAAAACGTAGCCGAAACAGTATCCGTAGACGTCTTAACGAAATACGAGTGCGGCAAAGAGATCCGAAATGTACAATCTAATTTATGCGGCGCCGAATGATCGATTTGGTGGTTCTTGCAACACTGCGGCACTGCAAACAGGGAATGCTGTCTTCACGTGCGAAATATGTGYATGTTAATCGAACATGAAAGCTACACGAAGACTAAAATGCGACAATTCACTGAAAATACACGATCTAATGTTGGAACCAACCGCCAGAGACTGGGCTCTCCTCCGAGGGTTTCTAACAAACACAAATTATTTTTTGTTAAAACCGCAACTTTGTTTAGAGAAATTGATTTTTTTGCTTTTCATCTTTTCTATTTACACTTTTTGCAAAATCTATTTCTTGCACGAAGAGACTATTTTTATTCTAATAAATATTATTTTGGCACACGGACAAYAAATTTTTTATATTAGTTCAAGTACGTCGAACGAAAAGAAATTTGCTTTACAATCACACTGTGTAAATTTCGTATAAAAAATCTCACGCAAATAAACAGAAAGAAAAAGAAACGCAGAAAAATAATATCAAAAACATGCGACAAATTTTGAAACTGAAGTGAGCAACACACATATCAAACTAATAATAATAAAATAAATTTGTGTAAATGGCAGTTTCTGAATGGAAAAATTGTGTGCTTAGAAAAGTTGAAAACCCGTACGAAAACTACAGTGCMTACAAAAAGTATACTCACAATATTGGCATGCTTTTATTAGAATGATACTTGAATGGATTTTGCAAATTTTCCAATTTTCCACAGTTTCCTAATTATTGATAACCTTTGTGAGAATTTTACATATCAGACAAATTTTCGAAATTTCGGGGGTAATTATTTTCGGGTCCTAACAACTTTTATAAAATAAAGTTTGTTCTATAAAATTGAATATACATATGTATATTTTAATATCTCATAAAGAACATACAAAAAAATATAAAATCAATCTTTCAAATATTTTTTGAGTTACAGCTTTCTAAAGTGTTGCCCTCGCCGAAAGGCAGGTCCGAAGAAGGAAAAGGCTGTCTTGTCGGCCGAAAAGATGATGATCACTGAGTTTCTGAGATTAACGAGATGTATTATACATTAGCTAGCTAGAAAAGGGTTACAGGGCTCTACTAAGTCAAATTATTGAATATTGAGGCGTCGAGGCCGAATTGAAGAAAAAGTGGTCCAAATTGGCAAAGAAATACATATAGGAAAAAGTTTTAAATATTCTAGGAAAATTGTTTTTCTGTATGTGGTATAGTATGGGCTCATTTTAAATCGTGAATTTGAAAGGCTAGTATTTAGCACACCCTAATGCACAAATGTACATACGTGAATAAAACACGAAAATTTTTGCTTTCGGCGAAATTTTGTTAATTTTAATATATGTTAATTTTGACTTATAAATTCCATAAGATATCTTAGCGCGCCCTAATGTACATATGTACATATATAAATGGTTTTTAAAACTTTTCTTTTCAGAGAAAGTTTTTTTCCGCATATAGGTTTATGTATATATAGCCCATGAATTTTATAGATTGAGCGAAAACTTCCTAATTTACATACATATGTACATACATACACAAAGAAATACATTTTTTTTTWAATTTTTTCACACGTTAATATTCTTTTCTGTACATACATACATATATTAAATTTTCTACATTTTTTCTTGTAGCGATATTTTTATCTTTATATACAAGGGTTAATTATAACCCATGAATTCATTAAGTAAGTTTTAGGCTCACCCTAATGTACATATGCGCATAGTCTACCTATGTGTAGGAAATACAATTTCTAAACTTTTTTGGATAGTTTTTTCTGAAAATCTGTTAATTTTGACCCATAAATTCGTTAGGTCAGATTTAGACGCTCCCTAATGTATACATGCAAATAAAATTTTAAAAAATTTATAATACATTTTTTCTTGCACGTATAATTGTTTCTGTATATACGTATGTTCTCATTTGAACCCATTAATTCATTAAGTTATTTTTAGATTCACCCTAAAATAGATGTTGTACATATTTACATATGTACATATGTACGTGTATGAGAAAAAATTTCCAAAATTTTTTCTTGCAGATATATTTTTCTTCTGAAAATATGTTAGTCTTGATGCATTGTTTCAATAGGTCAGTTTTTGGTTCACCCTAATGTACATACATATGTAAAATGAAAAATTATATTTTATAGTATTTTTCCTTGCACGGAACATTTTTTTTTCGTAGTATATACGTTTAAGTTCGGTAGTTCAGTTTTTGCCGCACCCTAATGTACATACATACATACATATGTATGAACACATACAAATAAAATTTTACACATTTTTTTTCTTGTACGGTAAGTTTTCTCGGTATATTTCTTAATTTTCGGTAGTTTAGTTTTTGGCACACCTTAATGTACATCTGGGCTAAAAGAGTTTGCGCGTTACTTTTGAGGAAAATTGAATATTTATTTCAAATTAAAATTATTTAGCACACAAAAAGGTAGAGAAGCTCGGCTTATCCTTAACAATAATAAATTATTACATATGTATGTAAATGTGTATCTTAAAATTATTTATATGTAAAATGTTATACAAAAATTTGAAATTTACTTAAAATTAAAATTTATACACCAAATATCGAAATTACGTCTAAAATTTAGTTGAAAACTTTGTACAATACTTCTCGCACACACTGTATAATTTTGGAAACACATTCGCTCGCTCTCTGTTATTGTTWTTGTTTTGTTTGGCACACTTGTAATATTTTGGCATTTTCRTATTTTGCATTTAAATATTAAAAGTACGAATTACTGCACTTCCAAAGTAAACATAGATTTTCAATGCCACCAACGCGGCGACGGTTTACGTCACAAGTAGAAATGCACGAGAAAAGCGCGGCGCTTTATAAAAAGAAAAACCGTTTACGTTGACGCGACCTTGACACACTCGAAACGCACATAAAAGCACGTTGCATACTTTGCGGCAGCGTAAAATGTTCCTCATACGCCGCAGCATACAGTGGGAGACGCAGCAAACAACTGAATTAATTTATCAACTCCGTTTACGATTTAAACTCGATTTTATGTTTTTTTTTTGGCAAAAATATTTTTATATAATTTTTCAGACTTATATAAAATGCATTTGCATGCCACCGCTATTTGAGTGAACTGCTCACAGGCGTTGGTCAGTTGCAGTGAGTGTGGTGAATTAGAGGCGTCGCGCCGCTGTTTTGCTCGCCGTTGGCATTGACATTGCAATTTGGCTGCAATTGCTTTTTTTGTTGCTTTTGTACGATTGCATCGATTTTATACTTAGTGGGGGCTTTGTGTGTGTATTTGTATATACACACATACATATATAAGTGTTCACCGAATTCTTGAAGCTCTTTTGCTCTCACATTTTCACGGTTAACTTGCAACCTGTTGGCTGTAAGCAGTTGCCGTATTTGTTGTGTGGTTGGGGTGTGAATTTGTATTTTCCATGCACTTCGTGAGCTTTTCGTGGAGCTTTCAAAAGCTTGTTGGGCATTCTCAGTTGAAAGTGAGAGTGTAAATCAGCTGTTGATGCACAAATGCTTGCACTATAATATGAAATATGCTTACAGTTGCAGGCATTCGAATGGAGATTAAAAGTAAAAAAAAAAATTTATTATCTTAAGGGTGATCCATTTCGAGGTTCCTCCTTTTTTTTTGAAGAAAAACACAGAAACCCCAAATTAAATGGAATGTTTATTATAATTCGTAAGTACATTTTTTGGCAATTATTTTTTGAAGATTACCTCTTTCAAATGTTGGCCGCGGCTATGTCTCCGATGATCCATCCTTTTAATCGAATTCTCTATGACTCGTTCGTTCATTTCGACTRGTAACTGGCGAATGACTCACGTGCTGTTTTGCTCCAAGACCTGAATCGAAGCGGAATTGTCCGCATAGACTTTAGACTTTACATACCCTCATAGGAAAAAATCTTACGGTGTAATATCACACTATCTTGGTGGCCAATCGACCGTCTCAAACGTGMGATTATCTGCTCACCAAAGTGTTCTCTCAATAAATCCATAGACTGATGTGATGTGTGGGAAGTGGCGCTTGTTGGTTGGACTTATTGAAACCAAATATCGCCGAGATCACGAGTTTCAAAATCAGATAGAATAGTCAATTATCAAGGCCCCATAATGGTCGCCATTGGAAGTTTTTTCTGGATGAAATGACAGCGTCCCTAATGCTGAAATTTGGCTTGTTTACATACCAATTGAGATAGAAATAGGCTTTGAACTTTTCAAGAGCCTATAGAGCTACGCGATTCGCTTGGTAAGGTCGAGCCTCTTTATTTCTTGCATAAGCTGCGTGATCTGTTAAAAAAAGGCTATTAAAAGAAGTACCTCTAGCTGGAAATTCGCAGAGAAAGTGGAAAAACRTTTCCGTATCTCCTTTAGCTTCCAGTTGCGGTAAATTTGTTTATAAGGCATGCCCATTTTTTACTCATATTCTACAAACTCATTCTCTTACAATAACTGTAAGTCTGTATATACYATATCTGGACATAATTAGTAGGCCTCTGGTTCTATAGCTATAGGTCCGGACTATAAGGTCCATGCAAAGGAACCTCACTACCAAGTTTCCGTAGCACCTGGCTCGTCAATATTCATGTGTGTAGCCTGGCAGTATCCTAATGGATCACAGTTCTTCTTCTATGGGCCAAATTTGGTTTTTTTGGGAGATTGTTTCCATCCTACCGTTCGATTGTGGACATTACAGATCCGTCCTAAAAGGYCGGTCTTAAGGGTACAGTCCAATTCCAATAAATATACATCAAACCCTTCCTGACAGTTAGTCCTGGCTTGTCTACCGTTTGCTCTGGTTTTCCGCAATTTTTGCTTGACGTTATCGTAAGTGAAGAATTTTTCGTCACCAGTAACTATCCGATCTAAAAATGGATCAGATTTGTTGGGATTCAGTTCTGATTCACAGATTGATATTCAGCCCATGAGGTTTTTATGCGTTAACTCGTTTGTCACCATATTTCGTGTTTCAAGTTTAATAAGGAAATATCAAATTTCTTGTGAAAAAAGTTTATTTGGGAAATACTTCTAAAATACATACATTGATATTGCTTTAATTAAATGATAATGATCACAGTAATACAACTTTCCAGCTTTTAATTTCGGTCATTTTATTTACAAGTTTTCAAATAACGATTCACATTTAGCACTTATCCATGATACCCGCCATAGTAGCCGCCATAACCACCCCAATAACCCCCAAAACCACCTCCATAACCGCCATGATGATGTCCGTGATGATGGTGATGATGATGCCCGTGATGATAATAGGGTATCGGTGGTGGTGGTGGTATGGCAATGTACTCCACGAACACTGACGGCATCGATGTTGACATTCCGGCAAAGGCCACCAGCAGACATACGATAAGCGCAAAGATTGACTTCATTTCTCACTTACTTCAATTTGAGTATACTTTAGATTGCGTGAAAATTCTCGAAATGCGCGCTCAGCCCACGCTAAGTAATTAA